GCTTCATCAGTTAGAGGAGGGAGAATTATTCGGTATAGTAAAGTTTGAAGAGATGGGTCTTGGGGGCAGTTCTGAAGGCTGGGATGGTCGTTATATTGCGGATGTGTCATGGGAGAGAATTCCATTGTTTTTAAGGGCACAGAAAGAGAAATATCTTAATAAGTGATACTGTAACAATGTCACTTCCTTGTCTGGTGGTTATCGTCATACTAATCCTTGGTGTTTTTCATAAATATTTTGCAAGATATCGCTGTATTAATATTTAGCCTAGAACCAACACACTTGTCTTTCCATGCAGGTGACGTTATTATTTCGTTCGGCGATCAACCTCCTTCGCCCCTATTGGTGGGGAGGGGGGAATTTTTTTTGCAACCGGGTCTCTTAAAATTGTTGTTCTTACGGGTCTCGACGGAGAATCACAAAAGACATCTAAATTGGTAGCCAAAATCATAAAAGTAAACAGGTCTGCAGTAGGCCAACTACAGAATTATAAGAAAAAATCGTAATATTATTTCGTCAATAACAATTTTTATGAGCATAATAATGATGAATTTCAAGAAATGAATGAATTGAAAAAGATTCCTTATTTAAAAAAAAAAAAAAACAAAAACAAAAACAAATATAATAATGGAAATATTACCATTCCATAGGATTATTCAATATTATTCATCTTTGCCTATGAGAACATTGATGAGCAGGACAATGATAAATCAAATTCAATATCACAAATGAAGGAATTGAATAAAACTAGGGTTCCAAATTTTATCTTTGAAAAAAACCAAATAAAACAAAAATAATGACATAAACATTACAATTCCATTTGTTTTTCTTCAACAAAACTGTTGACATTTGCCGAGGCGTAATTGAAATTTAATTTTTTTTTGAAATATAGGACAAGTAGGTCATCATGCAGCTGTGAGCAGTTTTCGAAGAGTATTAGTCATAAACATACGATGACAGCAAGACGTCGAGCAAATAATGAAGATGGGATTGTTGGCATAGAGACAGACAGACAGTCTGACTTCTGGTAGATGACTGAAAACCTCAGTCACTTTCGACCGAATGGCCAAAAGTCTCAATCACTTTCGGCCGAAACCGAAATTAAACCGAACGTTATTTTTTCTGTTTCGGTCGAAACCGAAACTGGGCCGAAAGTAATCAAATGGCAACTTTCGGCGCCGAAACCAATGCCGAAATTCGGTCGGTCTCTAATTCTATCACTACCTAATGACTGTTACGAACGATTCTGTCACTACCTAATGACTCTTTTATGAAAGATTATGTCACTACCTAATGACTCTTTTATGAAAGATTATGTCACTACCTAATGCCTCTTATGAAAAATTATGTCACTACCTAATGCCTCTTATGAAAGATTATGTCACTACCTAATGAATCTTATGGAAGATTCTATGACTACCTTATGACTCTAATGAAAGATCTATGACTACCTAATGACTCTTATGGAAGATTCTATGACTACCTTATGACTCTAATGAAAGATCTATGACTATCTAAATACTCTTATGAACGAAAAGTCTGGCATTCACAAATAAAAAAAAAACTAAATGACATACACTCATTTGTGGCTACAGTTTAAGAATCTAGAATATAAAATGTCTTAAATTCTCCATTTTTTATATGGGGGGGGGGAGGGGTCAAGTAATACTCTAATGAACGAAAAGTCTGGCATTCACAAATAAAAAAAAAACTAAATGACATACACTCATTTGTGGCTACAGTTTAAGAATCTAGAATATAAAATGTCTTAAATTCTCCATTTTTTATATGGGGGGGGGAGGGGTCACGTGACGTGGTTGCATCATAATGTAACTGGCGAAAAATAGAAAACAGATGTGAACTACTTTTGAAATTTAAATTTAATGCCAAACCCGATAACACGGGCCCTACTGTACTCGACCCTATATAACACGGGACTCACTGTACGCCAACCTTTATAACACGGGACTCACTGTACGCCAAATTCTATAATACGGGATTCACTGTACGCTAACTTCAATTAAGGTATTTCAAATTTATAGAAAACCATAAATAGTGCCTGCTGCTCATGTATGCTCTTTGGTGTTTTCGTCTGCGCCATAACATAAAAAAAAAAACACAATAGATTTATGGACTTACCGTTATGGAAATTCTATGGGAAAAATGAGTCTGAGGTAAGAAATTTACGCTCTTAAAATGGGACTAAGCTAATAAAAAAATATGTGAGTGGTCAAAATAATAGTTTTAAATTTCGGAGATATAAAATTAACATGCTTAGGCTCACACAGATCTTGAGTGACTTGCTTAAAGAATTTAATTATCATTTTAAAACAAATAACATAGTGTCAATGTTGAAACATAGCACGGAAAAGGTGAGCTAAGCTTTGAAGTAATGTCTTGCTGGTTAGGAAATATTTTAAAGTTACATTTCAATATATATCGGCGATCGATTTAATTTAACGAGATCCAGAACCTTTATTACATTCGTCGTTAATGATGAAATAAAAACATCATAAAGAACAATTTAATGTTAGAACAGTAAAAAAAATATTATTTAAAAATTTAATTTCCGCCTTTAATTTGTTGTTGTTGTTTTTTCCAAATTACCATTTGTGGTCAAATGTCTTGCCTACTCTCCCGCGGGTCTCCTCACCAACCACGGTCAAGGACTCGTTTATTTGAAAGGCTTTTTTTGTTTATGGTCGGGGAGAATTGTTATTTTTATTTTTTTGACCGAGGACAAATCGGGTATATATTCGTTGTTAATTTGTTTTAAAATTCATTTGACAAAATAATGTGTATGTTATAGACCCTTTGCGAAGGTTCTAAAAATATTACGTTAAAACATATCAACCTTTTCATCACATATACTAACAGATGAAACATATGAATTTCTCATTCCCATATGCTAACAGCGTTGAAATATATCAACTTGTCATTCACATAGGATACCTACGTTGAAATATATCAAAATGTCACTTACGTATGCTAACAACGGAATTTATTTTCTTTCAGTTAAGAATGATTAAGTTGATATCTCGAAATTGTATACTACGATGTAAATTTGGGGCTACTTGTCTTATAGTCACAGGCCTAATGGTCCACTGCTCTTATGGTCACAGGTCTAATGGTCCACCGGACTTTTGGTCACAGGCCTAATGATCCACTGGTCGTATGGTTCTAGGTCTAAATGGTCCACTCGTCTTTTGGTTACAGGCCTAATGTTCCACTGGTCTTATGGTCATAGGCCTAATGATCCACTGGTCGTATGGTTCTAGGTCTAAATGGTCCACTGGTCTTATGGTCACAGGCCTAATGTTCCAATGGTCTTATGGTCATAGGCCTAATGTTCCACTGGTGGTATGGTCATAGGCCTAATGTTCCACTGGTCTTATGGTCACATGCCTGTTGGTCCACTTGTCTTATGATCATAGGCCTAATGGTCCACTGGTCTTATGGTCACAGGCCTGTTGGTCCACTGGTCTTATGGTCACGGGCCTAATGGTCCACTGGTCTCATGGTCAAAGGCCCATTGTTCGACTGGTCTTATGGTTTGCAGGTCGCATTGTCTGGTGATGTCCTCGTGAAGGGCTCAAGATCGGAAAATGTTTGTACAATTTCTCAAATTATTTATATGACTTGGAAACAGCATTAAATTTAGCTGACATAAAACATAGAGTAAATAAAATTGAACTTAATGTAAAGGTTAACTATATTTATGACATCTTGAAATTAACTTGAAATTAACTTTCAATCTTACTTTCAATCTTACTTTCAATCTTACTTTCAATCTTACTTTCAATCTTACTTTAAGACATAATTAAGTATTACTTTAAGTCTTACTTTTAGCCTTACTTTAAATCTTAATTTAAGCCTAAATTTTATTCTTACTTAAGCCTGACTTTAAATCTTACACTAAGTCTTACTTTAAGCCTTACCTTAAGTCTTACTTTAGCCTTACTTAACTTTTACTTTAAGTCTTACTTTAAGTCTGACTCTACATATACAGAAAATTCTATATGAGGATACCTTTTTCTCTATGCAGCTTGACAAACTTGAGAACATGAACCGGCGATAAAAGAATGAAACTCTGTGGAAACTTTGGGGATGAACGTCACAAGTCATCCATCAATGTTTTATTATTATGGGTGCTGCGTGGTCAACCCCCAAGCTTGTGGGCTTGACTTCAATCCCCAGCAAAAGCAAAGGAAGCACAAACGACACCAGCGCCCCGGGTGGATCGGATTGTTTGGACTTCTTTGCGTGGCAACTTATCTAAAAGAAGGAAAACTCTGAGATCAAACCCGGAGATGGGGGTATGACAATGACACATTGAAACTTCCGAAAACTCATGAAACGCGAAACTTATAAATAGCACAGTATTTCCAGTCGTCTTGACCAAATCTCGCCATTGCATTAAATAGGAAAGGACGATAGAGTGAGGCTGGCGAATTGAGCTATTCTCCTTCACTTGAAACAAAATACAGCCGAAGTCGAATATTGCCTTGGTATCTTCTCACGCAAATAATAAAAAAATACTATTATTATTATAACAAAAATATTAAAGCATTCCGTATACTCTAAGAATGAGCTCCACAAATCCCACGCCAAACGTGTGCAATGCCCTTAAGCTGCTAATGATTCTTCAATATTTTGCGTCCTATTGTTGTACAAATTGCTCATGCCAATCTGACACTGCCCGCGTAGTCTCGATCGACTGCTCTGAGCTAGGCTGGTATTCCCTACCAGCTGACTTTCCAATGCCCTTAGGCAAACTCCGTATGTCCTCGAACAATATCGTAAACCCATGGACACCACACCTTTTCAAACTTGAACGCCTTAAGTATCTCGATTTATCACGGAACAAAATACAACAGGCTCTAAATCTAACAAGTCTGGCAAATAATAATAAACAACTTAACACATTGAATTTCCCTGATTCTCAAACTGATCAGCCCAAAATTTTTGAATGGAAATAGAGTAACCAAACTACACTCGGACCAATGAATATGCTAATACATTTAGATTTAAGTGGAAATTTGATAGAGCGCCTGGGGCACGATTCATTTGTATTGTTCCCAAACCTTCAAGTCCTCAACATCTCAAAAAACTTTATCAAGTTATTAGAGCGCGGGGCGTTTGATGGACTGCACAGTCTAAGGATCTTGAACATGTACAATAATTCCTTGAGCATGTCAGCTCTCGCTTACCCTCTCTTGCTGTTTAAGGATCTCGGCAATCTGATCGAACTGAACTTGCTCGGCAATGTCAAGGCTATCGTCGGGGGAGAAACGTACCCTGACTCAGCTTTGTCCCGGCTCATGTCATTAAATAAACTTCTTATTGATGGCATACCGCACCCAGAGACGCCGGGACGAGGTTTCAGAAACCTCACGAGGCTTAGATACCTTCATTTCGGGGACTCACAAGAGGAAAAGTGCTTTCTTGATGTGCTGGGTAGAGATTTCTTTGACAATATCATTAGCAGAGAACCGCTTGAGGTTAATTTTCAGTACTGTGTTATACAAGAAGTGGACCCACGAGCCTTCTAGAATCTCTCAACATTGAAAATATTGAATCTAATCAGTTGTAATATGGGATTTAACAAATTTGCGTTAGCCTCTCAAAGCTTTCACCAAACACAACTCGAATATCTAGACATAACAGGCATCAGCAGACCTAACTTTACTGTTCTCGGCCATGATTCGCTCAAATATCTGAGTAATGTTTCTTTACACACTTTAATTATAGAAAAGAATCATATAATTAACATTGAACCCAAGGCTATTGAGAAGCTACCCAGAACTATACAACGGTTCTCGATTGCTCAAAATAAAATCGTTTCATCCGACAGTTTATTTAGTTTTAATTTCATGATCAGTTTAGAAGCTCTTAATGTTAGCTTTCAAAATAATTTTAGAACAGCATCGATTTGGAGGAGCAGTAGCAATGCAAGAACTGACAAGGCACCCAGCAAAGATCGAGCAGCACAGACCCCAATACACACGTCGATTAGTCATTCGCAACTTAAGAGGCTTCAGATGCATGTTTGTCCATCATATCGCATGGCTCCCTTGAGAAACGTGATTCAAGGGGAAGAAGTTACATATCGAGTTTTTCTACCCTTTGAACTGCGATCCTTGCATAAATTGAACATTGAAAACAATCTGAGAAAGTATGTAGGCTCCAACATGACAATCCGGTTACCTCGAAAACTCAAACAAATATTTGCCACTAACTTAAAGTTAGGATACGCTGTACCCAAATTGCAGTTCTTCAATTCAAACGTGATCGAGTTAGCCGACTTTTCAAAGAATTTGTTACTTTGTTTAGACGGGCCTGTTTATGGCTTCCATAGACTGCACCACCTGGACTTATCTCAAAACTATTGCCCTGCGTTGAGCCCCTACTTTTTTAAAGATGTGCCTGCATTAAGGAAACTGCTGTTGTCTTTTAATAATATCGGGCCGTCCCTAGAAGCTGATAAAGACGGCGAGACGTTTTCAAAACTTTTCCGTCTCGAATATATTGATGTTTCTCATAATGCTATTCGTACTCTCCACCCTAAAGTGTTTAAGCAATCACCAAATCTACAAACGATTCTGCTAAACAATAATGCCCTACAGGTCTTTGACATTGACATTGGAAGCTTGAACAAATTAACTCTTGTCGACCTCTCCACCAACGCTCTTGTGACGCTGCCCAAGCCAGTGATGACGTCACTCGACACACTTGCGTTGAGTAGCCCTAATTTAACACTCGATCTCCATGACAACGATCTTCTATGTGACTGCTCCAATACTGATCTTATCATGTGGTACATTAAAACGAAAATCAATTTCAGAAGAAAGGAATTGTACAAGTGTCGCTATGTGAATGGTTCTGTGATCTACGTGGAGGACCTCATCAACGTCCAGGAGATAACATGGCGATATTGCGCTGGACAGCAGATTTTGGTTCCAGTTCTAACAAGTTTTCTCACGACTCTTGTCATCTTGACCGCCCTGGGCTTCTACAGTTACTTCCGGGTCAGACTATTATTTTACATCTACATCAGCAAAGCTCGGTATTTCCGCCACTTCTCTGACCAAGGTCCGGCAAGGGTCAAAGACGTCTTTCTCGTGTACGACGACCAGGAAATAAGATGGCGGCAGTTTGCTATTAAAGTTGTGAAACCGGAACTTGAAAGCAGGGGCGTCACCGTTTACATTAGTGAAGTTGACGCACTGGCAGGGAGGCCGCTTCGAATGGTTATCGAAGAGTCTGTACTAGCAGGTTTGTTAACAATGAAATGTTTTCGTAAACGCTATGACAGCTTGGGTCTCAAGACTTTTAATACAATTCTTAGCAAGCTACCGTCAGATTGGTAATGAAGTAATCTTAAAGCCTACAACATGCAAGCTACCGTCAGATTGGTAATAAAGTAATCTTAAAGCCTACAACATGCAAGCTACAGTCAGATTGGTAATGAAGTAATCTTAAAGCCTACAACATAACAGATGATAACAATATTACTAAAATGTCTCTACGCCAGAAAATGGAAGAATGTTGCCTTTTACTTTCCCATAATTTACCCCAGGTGTCCATAAATTGGTTTACAATAGCCCCCACCCCCCAAAAAAACAAAAACAAAAAAAACAACAAACAAACAAACTTTGAAATCCATATTTTTCTATTACCATAAAATATTCAAGGAGATTTTTCATTGATTCAATTTAGTTTTTTATATATATATATAATTGGAACGCCCTTCCTGTCGATCTTAGAAACAACCAGACACTGGAGTCCTTTAAAACCGATCTAAAGACACATCTATTTCGCAAATACCTTCTGGGATGATTGTCTACCTTATTTTCCAGTTAATGCATAATGGCTGTGTTGCTCCGGGTTGAAATGGCTAGAAAGACTTTGAGATTGTATGCTTGTAATTAGTTTTTGTAGTGTTGCGTTTGTTTTAAATGTGGTAAATTATAGATTTGTTTTTTGTTGACTTTGTACCGCGCTTCGAGCCTTTGGGGATGAAGCGTGTTTTTGAAATGAACTTTATTATTATTATNTATATATATATATATTATATTATCAGTGCATAATTGTATCATTTGCTTTTGTTTCTGGTTAAAGTGTCAAAAAGACGCTCAGTGCTTTTAATTTAAATGGTCTATAATGCGAAGCTTAGTAGAAGAATACCTTCAAAGGATACAATACATTTAACATTACCAAAATGAATCTCAATTGATATTGATAACAAAGTACTCTGTCACTGAGTGAGATGCATACAGTTTATATAATTAGAATAATAGTAGTAAAAGTATCGGAACACACACGCCCATCATGGCAGGCTAAAGAGGAAGAGGAAATTGTCGTGTTGTAGATCTCAATCTAATCTTACTGCCAGACGACTATTTGTTAAGGGTTGTCTCGCCAGTCTCCTCTGACTAGTTCTACTTATACTATAATTTAGTCCATGCAGTACAATGCTAAATACTCCATTTCAAGCTATACGTTTATTCACGTCATCACATATTGAATAGTCGCATAGAATGTCCTCAAAATACAATAGATACCAAAAAAAAATTACTAATTAAAATAAGTCCAAACAGAACTCAGAAGCACACTTCACGCTTCACCGTGAATATGATCCAACTCTCTGACTGTGACACAGTCTCTGACTATGACACACCTCTCTGACTATGACACACCTCTCTGACTATGACACAACAACCTCTCTCTTCTTACTCCCACACTTATATATCTACCCTCTCGACCGTCATCGGCTATCTCACGCCTTGTTCACCCACTCTTGTACTATTTCGGGCGAACATAATTTACTGTAACCCCAAACATAACAACAGAGATTCTCATACCCTTGACAGAAATAATTGATCACATGATAGGAAAAGGAAAGTTATTGTAAACACAATGACCTAATTGGTATAGCTCAGTGTACACAAACTCAGTAATAAGCACTAATCAATAAATAACTATAAATATGACAAACGGACTAAAATGGAGTAGCCGCTAGACTTTTAGGTCATTAGTTACCGAAAGACTCAACTATGGCTGGTCATAATAAAATAAGCATTTCGATAATGAATATTTTTTTTGTTGTTTTTTTTACATTTGATTAAAAAGCCAAAATATCTAAACTTAGATGTTGATTTAATTGAATAAGATGTGTATGTTACTATATTTCTCAGCCCGGAAGACCCTTGTTCTGTTGACATCGGAGCTTTTCCTCTCCGAGGAGAGAGAGTTGGAGATTAACATGGCCAAGTTGTCTGAAGAGATGCGGCTGACAGATGTGCTGTATTTCATACGTCTGCAGCCTGTGCTCGAAGGATCGATGCCATGCCACATACACAAGTACTTGGAGGAGAAAAGACCTATAGATTACAGGAACAATGATCCGACTTTTTGGGAAGATCTAGTCAGGATAATCAAATCTTCTTCTTAATACGAGAGATAAACAGTTTTTTTTTTATGTAAGCGGTATTTCATTATCAGTAAACTTCACTGTTCAATCGGTTAATTCAATTTTTTTTTCAGAATTACAATACAGGTCTTTTACAGCTTCATATTCTGGGAAAAAAAATGGCATGTATAGTATCACGTCCCGAAACTTTGTGGGTTGTTGAAGTCTTAACTCCTTTTCCTTTCTCCTGCCCCTTCCGTTGCAACAGCCACCACATAAGACGGAGATGGAATGAACAACTGATATATAGGAGATATCATGATAACATGGTAGTCGAAGGTTTCTTCACAAATTCTGGGGACACTTTTCTTTGAAGAAGAACCATTTTTTTTTTTTTGCGATCCTTTGAACTCAGTCACCTAAACTAGCATTGTTCTAATTCAATGCTAAAGCGATGCCATATTGGAGTATGTGTAGTTCATCACTGGTTCTCACGCCCTTAATGGATGTCGTAATTATTATTTTATCTCACCTCTTTCCCTCAAATAGACTTGAGATGCTAGATGCTTGCTTTGGGGGTTTGCTTTGAGGGTTGGTTGGAGGATTGGTAAGAGGCTTGCTTAGAGGATTGGTAGGTTAGGGTTAGTTGGATGCTTGCTTGGAGGCTTGCTTGGAGGACTGGTAGGAGGCTTGCTTAGAGGATTGGTAGGAGGATTGCTTGGATGCTTGCTTGGAGGCTTGCTTGGAGGACTGGTAGGAGGCTTGCTTGGAGGCTTGGTAGGAGGCTTGCTTGGAGGCTTGCTTTGGGGATGGGTAGGAGACTTGCTTGGAAGCTTGTTTGGGGGCTTGGTAGCAGGCTTGCTTAGAGGCTGGCTTGGAGGATGGGTAGGAGGCTTGCTTGCAGGCTTGCTTGGAAGCTTGCCGATAGCTTTAGCTTCAAATGTACCTTGATGTTAACAGTTTCTTTGAGTGCACAACGCTAATGAAGGCTAAGACTCCTAGACGTCAAATCAATACTGAATCGTTATATTCCGCAAATATCTCAAAGACATTGAACTTGAATTCTGCTATTAGGTTTGTAAAAAATTGAAAAATACTTGCCCGGGTAAACATCAGCCCATGTATCCGGGTACTCATAAGTCCAAGTACCCTGGTATCCATCGCCCCAAGTACCCGGGTACCCATCGGCCCATGAACCCGGGTACCCATCGGCCCAAGTACCCGGGTACCTATCGGCCCATGAACCCGGGTGCCCATCAGCCCACGTACCCGGGTACCCATCGGCTCACGTACCCAGGTACCAATCGGCCCACGTACCCGGTTACCCATCGGCTCACGTACCCGGGAACCCAATCAAACCAGCCATTATTATCGGGTGTCATTAAGCATACCGACCATCACCATGGTAGCCGGCCCGTTTTATTATCTACCGATGTAGCGGTGTTGATTCTTATATCCCTTTTTGGGCTATGACGTCATCTAAAAGATCCTGACCATTACATTCTTCATTCATTTTAATAACTTCTATATCGATCTGTTCGATTGTTTCATCATCTGAACTTGCTTGTCTAGTAACCTTAGCATGTTGGCGCGTACAGCTTGAGCATGGAAAGACATGCTGATCTTTGCACTCTCGTAACTCTTTTTAGCGAAAGAAGGTTAAAACCATAAGGATTTAATTTTTTTTTGTTTAAATAACATGCTCATTTTTGCCAGAAAATCAATAAATTATGGTGGAAGGATGTTTTGTAGTTTAGTTGCTGGGCAACCTGCTTGACAAGCGCTAGTAGGTATTGGGTAGGCGATATCCGTCGCTAATGACAGCAGAGGGTCCAAACGAAACAACACAATTCTTATTTGACATAGAATTGTTTTTTTTTTAAAATGATTTTATTTTCACAATAACCGTCAACATAGAAATATGATGGGAAAGGGTAGCTTTCATCATATCCCGTCAGCGCTGGGGGTCTTTAAACAAAGCTAAAAAAAAAAAAGCTGAATGTCTCAATTTAGAAAAAAAATAATATGCAGAGAAACGTTAGGTAATTTTTTGAATATTCGTTTTCTAGAAAATTAAGAGACGAAACAAATTATTAACAAAGTTTAATTTCGAAATTGTAATTTTATTTTGTTTTCAATATATATATTGAAAAATAGCTATTGACGCCAAACTTCTGTCGCTGTATTAATTAAACAATTAATTGTTGTTAACATATTCATGAATCATGAACACCTTTAAATAATTTAATTTAATTGTATCTAGTAATGTTCAAAATTCACTAACATGGAGGATAATCATAATACGTTAACTTTGGCATAAACAAATTGTTGGCTTATTTCATTGAAAATCATTTCACTCACGAACATATTGGTACGTTGTCAACTTTGAGAGAATGGTACGAACATATTGGTACGGTGTCAACATTGAGAGAATGGTACGAACATATTGGTACGTTGTCAACTTTGAGAGAATGGTATGAACATATTGGTACGGTGTCAACATTGAGAGAATGGTACGAACATATTGGTACGGTGTCAACATTGAGAGAATGGTACGAACATATTGGTACGGTGTCAACATTGAGAGAATGGTACGAACATATTGGTACGTTGTCAACTTTGAGAGAATGGTACGAACATATTGGTACGGTGTCAACATTGAGAGAATGGTACGAACATATTGGTACTGTGTCAACTTTGAGAGAATGGTACGAACATATTGGTACGTTGTCAACTTTGAGAGAATGGTACGAACATATTGGTACTGTGTCAACTTTGAGAGAATGGTTCATCAGGAACAGGAAATATTTCGATAAAATGGATGGAATGTGATAAATCTCTTCTGTGAATATGTTCACTTAGCATTTTTTGTTGTTTAATGGATTTTTATGACTACTTAAGAATGAGCAGATCAGTTGTTTAAACTGTTGCATTATGGTTATCTATACGATAACATTAACTGGATTTTCAATGCAAACTTAATACTGAAACACATATTTATGTCTGTTGCCATTGTTTAAATAAATTCTCGTTTATGCTTTGTTTTTACAAATGTTTAACATTTTTTATCCTTACTTCTAATAATTTTACATAAACTGAAGAAAAACGTGATCCATAGAAAAACATGTTAAGCTACTTGCGCCATCTTTGATTTATTCTAATTTTTTATGTTAAGCAGGTGATTGTGCGAAACAATGATTATACGCCATATATATATGTTGTTAGAATATGAGGGGGAGGGGCTCAATTCTTCAGCCTGGCTCTCTCGTCCTTGTCCATTTGATCAAATGGCAAGACTTAGTAAAGACGACTGGAAATAGACCCCGGTACAGTAAAGAACCAGCAGTGTTACTTGTGTCTCATTGTGCTCTGTACGCGAGCCACGTCGCAAGAGTTGTCAGACTTTTCATTTTCCAATGTCATACCCCCTACGGGACTCCGTCTCCGGGTTTGAATTCAGAGTTTACCCTATCTTACATGAGTAGGCGTCTAAGGTTAACGGGTCCCATCCACCCGGGGTGCTGGCGATGTTTTCACTTGTCAAGTCTTTTGCTGGGGATTGGGCTCTAGTCCACAAGGTTGGGATTGACACAGTTGAGACTCGGCCACCGAGCACCCCCTGTAAGCACACCACAGGTAATGAATGATTGAATGTCTTTAAAAATAATTTACTGAATGGACGGAAGAATGGATCCCGAATATCAACAAGCCATCTCGTCACAAATAGTTGCGCACTCCCAAAGCTGCGACGAGCTTCCGGCCATATCGTAATAGTTTCCTGCACCGACAGTGTCCAAGTAATCCTCGTTGATACCATCAAAAGCTTGAAAAAGTTCATGTGATGTCAAACTGATGGCATCTGAGTTCGGAGGGACGATATGGTCCCCTATGAGATTCCTCTTACTCCACAAAAGTGACTCTCCGATTGAAGAAGCAAATACTTCGCCCCCGTAATCATTTCTGACATGTTCTAAAGACACACACGAACGAGACACACCAGAGACACGCAAGCTATGAATTCCGGAGGGCATATTCCCACTGCTGTTGCCAGTGCGAGGAGCCACTTTAGAGCCACTACTGTAGTGCGTGAAATATAAACCAGAATTTGTAAAAATTTTCTTGTCCACAGATCCATTGCTGTTACACGAGTCTCTGTTGTGTGTTTTGACGATAGTGTCACAGAGACCATCATTGTAAGGCGACGAGAGATCCGGTGAGTTAGATTTCGAATGCCTTGGTGAGGTATGTGATTCATAACTTTCCGTAGATTGATGAATCCCTAGTAGCGTGTTTTTGACGTCATCACCGTGGTCCCCTGGCGGCGCGTTGGCCGAATATTTGTCATCAGACGTAGGTATCAGGGGAAACATGTGGTCCTTTAAGATTTTAATATTGGAAGAGGAACGCTGTGGCGAATCATCCGAAAGGCAAAATTTAGTTTTTTCATCTCTCAGTGCTCTCAAGTAACCTGAAACATAATGTTATGTATTAGTTACGTTATTAGTCTTTGTAACGTTAACTTATTGAAATGGTCTTCTTCGACATTAAAGCCATTCGAAATCTTTAGACATTTGATCAAGGTAAAATTAATTAAAAGTACATTTCATATTACAGTGAAAAAGTCATGAAAAGTGATCGCACAACCTGGAAGTGACAATGAGGTCAAATAATTGGTTGACCAAAGGAAAACTTCTCTAATTTTGCAAGTAGTTAAGTATAGATGATGATACACTGTGTTTGGAACCAACGGTTTGCTCCCTGCACTGACCTTACCTAATTACAACATCCTCTTTTTACTAGTAATTGACCCAGAGGTCTTCGGTAATCGACCCAGATGTCTTCAGTAATTTACGCAGAGGTCTTCAGTAATTGACCCAGAGGTCTTCAGTAATTGACCCAGAGGTCTTCAGCAATTGAACCAGAGGTCTTCAGGCCTAATTTTCATTTTATATACTGGGTCATATTCTGACATCAATATTTTTGGTTCATACCATTGATATAGAATGTAATGCATATTTCTAGCTGAAGAGAACACGATGCACTGAAATTAGTATCATGTTTACTAACCCTTTCCCTTCATGCACACGCACGTTGTCACGCCCATGACTATAGCGAGTAAAGCAGCCAAGGAACCAGCAGTCACGCCAATGATGACGGTGATGCCATTGCCCTTGTCAGATTGATCTACGTCTGCCAATACTTTAGCTGAAATTATTAAAGATACTATAAATAGATGCATTTGTATTTGAGTTAATGCACAAGTACAACTATATAATACATGGGTCCATTTATTTTGATGAATGAATAGATGAACAGATGGATAGAAATATGAATAAATATTTATATACGATATATTCATTTACGTAGATAAAGATTCAATAAAAAACAAGACATTCAGGCCGCCCAGAGGATTGACTATATAGGGCTTACAAAAAATTATATAATTATTGATAAAAAGACAGAGACAAAGACAGAAAGACATGGACAAATACAACCAGACCGGAACACAGACAGGCAGACAGGGACAAAGACATACAGACATAGACAAAGACATACACACAGGACCAAAAACATACATACAGGCACAAAGACAGACATAAATGAACAAAGACAGACAGAGAGAAAGGCAGTGAAATAGACACATGAACAATGAGCGTAATAATTATTAATTCAATAATAATCACTGAGTTTAAGGGACTTGATGTTTAGTTGACATTTTTGGCGTGTATTTTCAAAGTTGTAACATTTCTACTCAAAACGAGACAATTTTCTAGGAAATGCTCGTTGCACTTTTCCCAGGAAATTCTCAGCGTGTTTGCTTAAGTGACACTAGTCGAAGTTGAATGATGCATTGCCAAGTGATGAAAACCTACTTGATGTTTATATTCTCATTAGACGGAACTTTGAAATCACTTGACATCGAAACAGTTCTAAAAATAAACGCCGAGCTGCCCGAGTGAGGGTTTAAAGAAAATAACACGACCGAAACATCTGTTACTTTCGATTCTACCCGTTACATTCACAGCTCCTCGGTTTTGTTACTTTTATTTTTACAAACAGTAGTAGACAATGTGATGTGCATATTTTTTTACCCGAGATCGGTGTTGGGTTTTCTACAGAACGTTGCGTTTTATTTACTGATCCATCTCCGCCAAGCTCTCCACTGTCTAGTACCGGGACTGTCCTGATATCGTTGACCTGATCTGTTCGACTAACATTGTCAAAACTGCTACCTGAACAAGGGAATAAACGAAACAGATTATGGGAAAACGTGAAGAACCAAAAAAAAAATAAAAAAATAAGGAATGCAACATAATAAAGTAAAACTAACACAAGGTACCCGCCATGTAGTATCTGGGACGGTGCTACGGCTTAGTGTTATTTTTATTTTATGTTGTTTTTACTGTTGTTTGTTTGCTGGAGAAGGCTTCTTATCAACACGTTCGTTGTTTTGTTGCATCATTTTAAAAAAAAAATAGTATAGTATAAGTATGCTGTCTAAGCGCAGGTCCACTTCTTACGGCCGCAGAGACCGATGTCAGTGCACTGGCCCCTACCAGGCTGATGTGTAGTAAGAAGTCAAAATAACCATGAGACGTTCAGAAGTTCATGTCATGTATTTATCGGCTAAGTGTGCAACACAAAACTAGAACATTGCACACGACAGAGACCGCAGATGTTCCGAAACAAACAAGTTTCCAACAAAATCCTACAAATCTGTCACAACATAAGATATTCATTACATAGCAAAACATGTAATATTTATTTCACTCCTATCAAAACAAATGTACGAACTCAGCTCTCTCATCTAATCTAATCTAGTGTCTGGCTCACAAGGGAAAAAGGCTTGTATAACCGTGTTGTCAAGCCAATGCATAGTCCTAGAGACTGAGTTGGCTCATTAAACATGTTGTCAATCCAATGTAGAGTCCTCTAGACTGAGTTAGCTCATTAACTGTGTTGTCAATCCAATGCATAGTCCTAGAGACTGGGGTGGCTCATTAACCGATTTGTCAATCCAATGCAAAGTCCTCTAGACTGAGTTGGCTCATTAACCATGTTGTCAATCCAATGCAGATTCCTCTAGACTGAGTTGGCTCATTAACCATGTTGTCAATCCAATGTAGAGTCCTCTAGACTGAGTCAGCTCATTAACTGTGTTGTCAATCCAATGCATAGTCCTAGAGACTAGGGTGTGTCAGTAATCGTGTTGTCAAACCAATGCATAGTCCTAGAGACTGAGTCAGCTCATGATTTTATCACACAAGAAAAAATACAATCGTTCACTCATTTAATAACATATGATGATACAACAATACTATAGCGCGTCATCCAACTGCGACGCGTCATCTGTCTGTTGTACGTCCTCTGACTGTGACAGTAGATCAGGCTGTCAGCTGAATGCTGACTGTGAAACGTCACCTGACTGCGACACGTCCTCTGACGGTCACGTGTCACCTGAATGTTACACGTCTTCTGACTGTCACATGTCATCTGACTGTCATACGTAATCTGTCTGTGATAAGTCATCTAACTTTGACACGTCATCTTACTGTCACATGTGATCTAACTGTGACACGTCTTTTGACTGTCACATGTCATCTGATTGTCACATGTCTTCTTTCTGTGACACTTCATCTGACTGTGACACGTCATCTGCCTGTGACGCGTCATCTGTCATCTGAAAGTGATGCGTCATCTAAGCGTGGTACGTAATCTAACTGAAATGTAACAAATATTTTAGATAACTTGATTATCTAGAGATTACTGCTGTACAAATCCTATTATAACATTTCATTTTGAGCTTACACGTCTACCATGGTCACATATATTCAGTGTATAATTGCTCTTACGTTATATGAATATTACTTATTGTCAGAAATATAATCTCTTCATTATGTTATTTACCAAAATCTCTACAGCGGTAAAATCCATCGCTCAGCTGACTGTGAGCGTGCTCTTTAATTCCATTATATTGTGTTCGTAATTGACTGGCCGCCAAAATATCGGACGCCCCAATTGACCTAATTTCGGTCAACCTATCGAGCTGAAACTTGACGCATAAACTGGTTGCCGATGAAAACACATTCTGTCAAATATTCAGACCCACCCCTTTCAAACTCATGTCCCAAAAATCAGCTTTTCCTTTTTTTTTCCAGATTTCGCGAAATAAATGAGATTCCTTTATTATTTTTTTTTAAATGACGTATCTGCGTTTGTTGCTAATATTTTCTTCTGTTTTTTCTAAAATAGTGGGTGAAAGACTGCGGTGTAAGAGCGGGTGGGTCATTAAACTATAAATATAAAATGAAATTATGGAACATTCCTTTAATGGATTTGTACGCCAAACTTTGTTTTAAGGGGTTAAATGCCCGTAAAAACATTTCGCGATGTCTTGTGTTTCGTAACTTCCAGCGAAAACCCACACCCTCTTCTCCTTTAAAAACAAAAAAAAAAAAAAAAAAAAAAAAATTTATAAAAAAAAAAAAAAAAAAAAAAAAAAAAATGATTTGTACGCCAAACTTTGTTTTAAGGGGTTAAATGCCCGTAAAAACATTTCGCGATTTCTTGTGTTTCGTAACTTCCAACGAAAACCCACACCCTCTTCTCCTTTAAAAAAAAAAAAAAAAAAAAAAAAAAAGACATTTCTATCAGGTCAAGAGTTAACAAAGTGTAATTATCATGTCATAAATACATCCATTGTTATGATTGAAACTTGAGACAGACTTGGAAGTATTTTCTGATTTAGGCCGAAACCGAAACTAGACGGAAAGTTAAAAATGACTTTTGTCTGCAATCGAAGCCAAAACTGAAATATTTGGATATTTTGAAATTCGCTCACGCGTACACTCTGCATAAATCGAAAATGTTGGGGGAAAGTATCAATATTTAAAAACTTTTTTTTACAAAAAAATGAGATCATCGTAAATATTAATAAATAAACATCAAATATTTTAGTTTAAAACAATTTAATTTCTTTAAAATACTCTTTTTAAAAGTAGTCATTTAGGAGAAAATTTGGAAAGGTGGGGAGGGGGGGGGCCAGGGCGAAATTCATGCAAAATAGACCCTGGGGTGCCCTTTGCATTTATAATTTATTTACAACCTACAAAATATAACTACCATAATTCTTGTGGCTGAAATAGAGACAATTGCCAACTAAATATGAGTCAAGGCTATAAAAATATCGCCAAAAGTCGCCAGTTATCGTCATTCTAATGCATCGTATTTTCATAAATAGCTGGAAAGACATCTCTGTATTCGTATATTAAAAGTAATAATGGGCCGTTTGCAAATTACGTCACGCTCAAGTGGGAGAAGGAGGGGGGGGGAGAGTCGAGAGTTTGTGACACTTTTTGACAGGGGGGTCACAAATTTGTGACGTCACAATTGTAAACCTTTTTTTTGTTTTTTAAATCTATAATTTTATAATTTTGAAAAAAAAATAATTCCATTCATTTTAAAAACATTAATTTGAGGTCGAAAATGCCTCAGGTGTTATAAGTACCGTGAAACTTAGTCGTACACACCTTCTGCGCATATCGAAAAAAAAAAAGACGCAAAAACTGTTGTGGAAATCTTATATTGGGCTCGGGGAGGACTTCGTTGTTTTGCGTTTTACGTCACAGTTTTCTAATAATAGAACATCTTAATTCATTATGGGGAATGTTAAAGAATAAAATAAAATCTTAGTTTAGTTATAAAAACGTTATGTATGTTGTGAGTTTCTTTTGAGGTGTGACGTGACACTTTGGGGGGGGGGATGATAGAGGTGTAATGAATTTGCGACACTTTCTGACCGGGTAGGGGGGGGCGGAAAGGAGTTTCTGAAAAGGTATTTTTTTGCGTAACGTACTTTGCGAACGACCCCTAACAACACACTAGTCTTCTTTCCATGCTGGGGACTTAATTATTTCATTCGGCGACCAACCTCCCTCACCCCTATTGGTGGGGGAAATTATTTTTTAAACCGGGTCTTAAAATTCTTGTTCTGACGGGTCTCGACGGAGAGTCGCAAAAGACATCAAAATTGGTAGCCAAAATTATAAACGTAAAAATTTCGGCAACAGGCCTACTACAAAATTATAATACGAACCTGTGATACATGCACACACTTGTTATTTCGTCAATAACAATGTTTATGGGCATGATAATGATGAATTTCAAGAAATGAATGAATTGCAAAAGCCTCAGTTTCCTTATTTAAAAACAAAATAAAACAAATATAATAATGGAAATATTACCATTCCATAGAATTATTCAATATTATTCACCTTTTTAATGACCAAGTTAATGAGCACGATAATGATAAATCAAAATGTATATCATAAATGAAGGAATTGAATAAACCTAAGGTACCAAATTTTATTTTTGAAAAAAATTAAAACAAAAAGAATTTATATAAATGTGTCTAATCCTTTAGTTTTTCTTTTACAAAACTGTTTACATTTGCTTAGGCCTAATTGAAATTTATTTTTTGAAAATATAGGAAAAGTAGATGTGACTAATCCTTTAGTTTTTCTTTTACAAAACTGTTTACATTTGCTTAGGCCTAATTGAAATTTTTTTTTTTGAAAATATAGGAAATGTAGGTCATCATTCAGCTGTGGAAAGTTTTTGCTGAGTATTAGTCATATAATATACGATGATAGAAAGGCGTCCAGCAATAATGAATAGAGGATTGTCTGCCTAGAGACAGACAGACAGTCTGACTTCTGGTAGATTACCGAAAACCTAAAGTCTAAATCCCTTTCGGCAGAAACCGAAATTAAGCCGAAAGTTGACTTTTCAGTTTCGACCACAATCAAAACTAGGCCGAAAGTGGTCCCGAAAGTGGTCAAATGGCAAATTTTGACGCTGAAACCGAAATTCGGTTGGTCTCTAATTTAAACATAATAGCTAGAGATAAGTTCGTTGATCATTAAAATATTTATCAACTCACCTGTAGAATTCTGAGAAAATTTTGGTGATTTCACCAAAGCTCGACACGTCTCAATATTGTTCTCCAACAAGATATAGTCAGCCTGTGTATTAGTAAAGTGGCGTGTCTTAATAATATATAGTCAACTTGCTTATAAGGCAGTTTAATTGCTTGTCTATATTATATATTTTGAAAGAATTAATCAGGGAAAGTGATTTAGCACTCATTGTAGGTAATTTTTTTCTTCAAATTAATGCAAACAAAGTAAAAATTTATTATGCCCAATGTGATGACCAGAGGTCAACAAATCACATTCAAACAAAAGTAACAATTCATTATGACCAATCTGATGACCACCGGTCAACATACCACATTTAAACAAAAGTACCAATTCCCTATGGTCAATGCGATGACCACCGGTCGACACAACACATTCAATGAATTGAACAAGTCTATATTTGATTACGTATCTAGTTTGTTATAAACAAAGTTAAAGAAATTCTAGAATCACTGGAAGACAGAGATGATAAAAGTTGATGAAATTATCATTCTAACGTTCACAGCCATCGTTGTACTTGGTGGTGGAGCGACAGTTTTGACGGAAACCCTGGAAGGCCACAGCGTGAATCTTCAGCAGGCCTTGTGGCGGATCGCCTGCTATACCTGCCCTCGACCCCTCTTCGGTAGACGCGGCAGAAGAGAAATATACCATTTTGAAGTGTTTTTACATTGCCACTAGCCGCGTTAAAAGCCAACCGTCGTAGAGAAGGGCATGGAATCATTATTTCAACACCTACCCATAACTGATACACAAGGTCCTTGTTCAGATTGATGACCACTGGGTTAGTGGACTGAAATGTAAAAAAAAAATTCGGAAAAATAAAAAAAAATGCTTCAAGGTTATATTTGTGTCATAAATTGTAGGTTTTTAATTGGTTGTTGTGTGTCATAAATTGTGAGATTTTAATTGGTTGTTGTGTGTCATACATTGTGAGTTTTTAATTGGTTGTTGTGTGTCATAAATTGTGAGATTTTAATTGGTTGTTGTGTGTCATAAATTGTAAGTTTTAATTGGTTGTTGTGTGTCATAAATTGCGAGATTTTAATTGGTTGTTGTGTGTCATACATTGTGAGTTTTTAATTGGTTGTTGTGTGTCATAAATTGTGAGATTTTAATTGGTTGTTGTGTGTCATACATTGTGAGTTTTTAATTGGTTGTTGTGTCATAAATTGTAGGTTTTAATTGGTTGCTGTGTGTCATACATTGTGAGATTTTAATTGGTTGTTGTGTCATATATTGTGAGTTTTTAATTGGTTGTTGTGTGTTATAAATTGTAGGTTTTTAATTGGTTGTTATGTGTCATAAATTGTGAGATTTTAATTGGTTGTTGTGTGTCATAAATTGTGAGATTTTAATTGGTTGTTGTGTGTCATATATTGTGAGTTTTTAATTGGTTGTTGTGTGTTATAAATTGTAGGTTTTTAATTGGTTGTTGTGTGTAATAAATTTTGAGATTTTAATTGGTTGTTTTGTGTCATACATTGTGAGTTTTTAATTGGTTGTTGTTTGTCATAAATTGTAAGTTTTCATTGGTTGTTGTGTGTCATACATTGTGAGTTTTTAATTGGTTGTTGTGTGTCATAAATTGTAAGTTTTAATTGGTTGTTGTGTGTCATACATTGTGAGATTTTAATTGGTTGTTGTGTGTCATACATTTTGAGTTTTTAATTGGTTGTTATGTGTCGTAAATTGTAAGTTTTAATTGGTTGTTGTGTGTCATAAATTGTAAGTTTTCATTGGTTGTTGTGTGTCATACATTGTGAGTTTATAATTGGTTGTTATGTGTCATAAATTGTAAGTTTTAATTGGTTGTTGTGTGTCATAAATTGTAAGTTTTAATTGATTGTTGTGTGTCATACATGTGAGTTTTTTAATTGGTTGTTGTGTGTCATAAGTTGTGCGTTTTTAATTGGTTTTTGTGTGTCATAAGTTGGAAGATATCGTACCTATAAATGATTAGTGAATTATTTATTGATATATGTGTTTCTGAAATTGTTTTGGGTCTAGGAAACCCATTTTGGGCCACGGGAAATGTCTGGGGTCCGGAGATCCATGTTCGTGTTTTTCCTCAAAAGAGCTATTCAATTTTATTTCATTTATTATTTAGCACTGCGGCTAATCGGTTAGGAACGTTTATTAGTAAGATTTTATTGGTGCACAACAATGAACGCCAACCCTGTGAGTGGCGCATAAGATCGCTAAGTGATTGTGTTGAGTGTTATTTACTTGACGTCTGAACGCTGTTAAACGTTTCATTATTGAGTACTCATGCCTAGACCGGGGGGGGGGGGAACATCTACCCCAATGTTTCTATGATTGTGGCGTATGGAAAAGTAAAATGACCCACACTATATATACATAAAAAAACCAAAACTATACGTTTCATTATTGAGTACTCATGCCTAGACCGGGGGGGGGGGGAACATCTACCCCAATGTTTCTATGATTGTGGCGTATGGAAAAGTAAAATGAGCCACACTATATATAAATAAAAAAACCACAACTATTACATAACATTAAATGAAATAAGCCGTTTAGCACAATATTTTGCTACTTATCGAGTATAGAAATGAACAGCACAATGAGCAGCCCAAATAACGCAAAACATATAAACATTTTGTCATATTTGTCTCATTTTGACTCAATAAGATTGTCTATATATTCTCTTATTGTCTAATATTGTGTCATAGTGTTTCATATTGTCTCATTTTGACTCTAATATTGTGCCATATGGTCTTATATTGACTCTAATATTGTGTCTCATTGTCTCATATTGACTCTGATGTTGTTACAAATAGTCTCACATTGTTTAATAAGATCTCTTATCTCTATCATAAGGTTAAGCTGTGCTCATTTCACTAAATTTTTCGGGCAGTTTCTTCACCTTATCGTCAAAAGAAATCAGTTCTTCACTGTTTGACTCGAAACAAATTTCCGATCTCAACTCCTTGCACAGTTCACCGTCGGGCTGCGAAACTTGATTGGCTGATTGTAATGACCACGTCACCAAGGTGAGATGAACTTCAACCATCGAAAAGGGTGAGGAGGACGCTGGAGGTGTGATACTGATTTCAGCTCTGTTTTTAAGGATGTGGACACCGAGTGGTATTAATAAATCTGGTAACAACAAAAAAATCAATACAAGTCTTCAATACAACAATTCTACAAACAGATTTAATTATTTTCATATTTTATAAAAATTTCAAATTAAAACATAAAAAAACCAAGGACATGTGATGACTGATTTGTAAGGCAGAGCTGAAGGCTTAAAGATTTTAAAAATGTTGTAATAGGTTATGCTTGTTTAAAAAAAAAGGGTGGTGGATGCCCCTGTACTGAAACATGTAACATAGTCTCTTCATTAGACTAGCATCGCTTCCATGTTTTGAAATATCGAACTTACCCGTGAACTCACTGTTTGATCTTTGTTTGGACTTGCAGTACCCTAATGAGATCAAGAAACGAAATACATTGGCAAGGCAACAGACTCGGAGATAAATTGACCCATTATTATGTAAATGAAACGAATATATTGCATTGAGGTCTGATAGGTTGTGAGGACATGATACAATAAACGCGGAATTAGTAATACCAAATACATTGGCGTCTACATAAGTAGACTATGAGTATGAACCTGATTAGTATTAAAACCTGTCTTGTTTATACCTGTGTATACATGTTGAAACCTGTTTATAAACCTTGCTTTTTAAATCTGTTACCTGGTTTATAATATGTGTTTTAAAACTTAACTTAATAAATAAACAACTATTTTATTGAAAGGGTTGGGGTGCTCTCCCTCGGAAATAGCCTCAACATTGACTCATATTGGAAGATTGACTTAAGACTTTGACACATATTGGAAGATTGACTTAAGACTTAGACACATATTGGAAGATTGACTTAAGATTTTGACTAATATTGGAATATTGACTTAAAGTACTGTCACCTATTGGAATGCTGACTTACTTGTTTGCGTCATTTTGGGAAGTTGCAAGAGGAGTCGTGTCGCTATTACAGTACCGCCTTCTATATGGCCAATGTCTACTACGTATGACGTCACGTTTTGAACAAGACTTATCACAATCTTCCGTTTTAAAGACTTGAGCTTTAGAAAATAAGGATATAGTAAAAAATAGTATGAATAATTTCGTCTGATCCAGTCAGTGTATCTTATTGTCCCGTAATGGATACTATGGATGTATGGAATCACACGATAAAATCATGTTTAATTCCATTTTAACTTCGCTTTTGTTCGGTTTTTCAGCAAAATCTTCGGATGGCTAACTGACTCGCTTCCCGCCAACCTATCGAGCTAAAACTTGGCACATAGACTATTTGCCTATGACAACACACTGTTATGTGGGACATGTTTACGTCACACTTTCCCCGTTCCGTGAATTCTGGTTGACCCAAAATTAGACGGCGTTCGTATTGGGCGTGGCCTATTTCCTTTCATCGTAGACGATGTTTTCCACAACTATCAGCTAAAAATAACTAATATATTCTAATAGAACTTCGATAATTGATTAGAGAGATAACAAATGTAGAAGACATTTCTAGAAGCGTTGGTTTTACCGACGCATATATATAAAAGGGGATTCAGAGATTCATCGGGAGAGATTCAGATAGATATTATTAACTTCACGAGACAAGTGTATTATTTTTTTGTGTACTCATATGTGTTTATTCGCATTCATCATTTGTACATTATTAACTGGCACATTGTACTAACTATGCACCGCTACAAGATCTACCATACTCTTGTAAGTTGATGATTTGTAATTATATTACTTTTTTGTGTAATTATATTAATACTTAAATAAATCTTTTTTATTGTCATTGGTACTGTTTGAGTGTCATATTTTTGCTATTGTTTTTCTCTATGGTATCGTCCTTTGTTATGCACTGTTTGAACGAGCCCTAAAATTAAAATAAGAGATTAATTTCGCACCATAGAAGGCAGTGCGTAACAACATTCGATCACAGTTTTAACCCTATCACCATTATCGCAAACATAAATGCTCTTGTTTTTCAACGCGAAGATGACTGAAACATGATTTGTTCAATGGGTGCGCATTTTGGTGTGGAGATTAGTTTTATAGCTCTTGCAATGTGTTTGTAATCTGTGATGTATTTGTGTTTAAAACCATCTCTAGTCGGTTAGATTTTACTTGCGTGAAGTTGGATAAAAATAATTCCCAAAACCTGTTAATCAGTTGCTGTTATCACATAAATGGTGAATCACGTACAGTTACATAAATGGTGAATCACGTACAGTTACATAAATGGCGAATCACGTACAGTTACATAAATGGCGAATCACGTACAGTTACATAAATGGTGAATCACGTACAGTTACATAAATGGTGAATCACGTACAGTTACATAAATGGCGAATCACGTACAGTTACATAAATGGTGAATCACGTACAGTTACATAAATGGTGAATCACGTACAGTTACATAAATGGTGAATCACGTACAGTTACATAAATGGTGAATCACGTACAGTTACATAAATGGTGAATCACGTACAGTTACATAAATGGTGAATCACGTACAGTTACATAAATGGTGAATCACGTACAGTTACATAAATGGTGAATCACGTACAGTTACATAAATGGTGAATCACGTACAGTTACATAAATGGTGAATCACGTACAGTTACATAAATGGTGAATCACGTACAGTTACATAAATGGTGAATCACGTACAGTCACATAAATGGTGAATCACGTACAGTCACATAAATGGTGAATCACGTACAGTTACATAAATGGTGAATCACGTACAGTTACATAAATGGAGACAAAAAGCAGCAGCATATAAATGATCTATATGAAAAATGTCCTTTAAGGGGGTTGTTTAACTTACGATATGGAAAAAAAGAAAATTTAAAAGGATTAAATTTGATAGCAGTGGTTCTTTTACATATAACAATCTATATAAAAAAAAGAAAATAGCTGAACTTGAAAGATCTTACTGTGTGGCTAAGTGGCGTCACATTTTTTGTTATGGCTGCGACTATTCGCACCCGGGTACCAGAAGTGAGAGGTTGGGATTAAAAAACTATTAAAAATATTAATGCTGGGTTTGTAAGACAAAATAAGGAATCAAATGAAAGATAATTGAATGGCCTATATGTTCGCAAACTTACTTCTTCAGTTTATCTAAAATAAACAGCACCACAAATGGCATCCGAATGGGACTTAGTCTAAAGGGACCTGGGTACGCACAATCCCAACCTATCACTTCTGATACCCGGGTGTGAAAGCGACTTCATTTTTTAAAAATTGTTACCGTCTGAAATGTACCTTACTGACGTCATTGCTCTTCAGTGGTTGTAGTTTTGCCGCTAAGCACGTTGCTTGACCAGAAAGTGGTCTATCTTGAAACTCGGGAGTGGTGAGCGCGAAGACATCTCCTTGAAACTTGGAGTCTACGATAAAATATTCGATAGACTCTGTTACTGTATGGTCTTTAAACCCTTCATTTATAATGCTTCTGTTTTTTTACTTCAAGCAAACCATCGATAACTGGAATACAACATGATGCTCTCTTCATTGATTTTACAGCTATCTACATTGAACGCACCTTTTGAAAAGTTCAACGTGATAGTTGAAAAAACTCATTAAAAACTTTTTTTGAAGGAGAAAATAGACTTGCATAAGTATAACTGACTGTAACAGAAAAATATGCTAACAAATATAGCTGACTGTAACAGATATGACAAAACAGACTAACATAAATTGAACTGACTGTAGCAGATATTATAAAATAGACTAACATGCATTTAACTGACTGTAACAGATATGATAAAATAGACTAACATAAGAAAACAGCTCATAGGCAGACGTAGGCTCAAGATGGATGGATGATGTGGCAAAAAGATCTATAACAGCTAGGAATCCAAGCATAGAAAAGAAAGGCATTAATTACGTCTGAGAGGAAGGAAGTGGTGAGGCAGGCCAAAGCCCTACATGGGCTGTAGTGCCACAGGGATGAATGGAGATAATATACATATATATATTTCATTGTTAAAATTTTACAAACCCATACCATCACTGCTCTTACTTTGCGTCCATTGAACGTGCAGACTTCTGTTGGCCGGAACAAGCTTCAGTCTTACCATGGTCATTGGTGCTACCTCAAACTGGTTTTCATCTCGCAGAGAAACATCCTCTAGAAAACTGCAGTCTGATCGCAAAGAGAAGCGTCAAAACAGTGAAGTGTCTCTTTCGATCCACATCATTAAACATAGTTCATTAACAGAAAAGTAGTAAAATGGGAATACTTTGCAAAATAATTGTTTATTATTATAGGATATTCACGAGATCTTAACACTGAAATGACTTGGACATTTTGATGTGCGTTCAAAGACTTAGCATCTTAAATACAAATTGTTCATATTTGACGGAAACATTGTTTTAATTATTGATAGCCGCATTGATACGTTAATTCATAGTCAAATACCTTTAAGAGATTTTTTCTCCCACACTTCGTAATCACTCTGTTAATATAAAAAAAATAGTTGTAGTTGTTTTTTTAAAAGGAAATGAATAATTAAATTATTTTAGATCAGTTGTCGCACAAACGTTTTATCTCAGACCCCTTGAAAATGTTAAAACATTCAGAGGTTCCCCCTACCCCCCAGGGGGGGAGTTCTGATACTTAAACAAGCTTTGAGAATTTTAAAAAAAAGTCATTAAAAATAGCATATCTTAAAATTGAATTGAAATATCTGTCTACACTAATGTACGTTTATAATGTGAGCCCTTACTTGAAAGTCCATTGCGTGACAACGTGCTACAATATATATGGCACAGACGCTTACAAAGTGGATTACAATGTCTAACATAATTTTGACACTCTCTAAGCTATCGCCCAACGTCATCTGTTGTTCGGCGAAGGTTTATCCATGTGTGACGTAAGAAAATTGACTCGTCTTCAGAAGATGACGCGGAAGTTACTCCATGGACAAACTCAGCTCCGACTAGTTTGTAGGGTTACTGATGGAAAATACAGTTCATTTTGTAAATTTAATTATAACTATTGTTAACATAAAGTGGTACAGTCTGAATGAATCGGATCATCCGTAATCCATTTGAAAAGAAAAAAACAAAAAATTGCTGTAATCCATATTTGTTATTAGATAATCCATAACTGATATTAGATCTCAGCACATTTTAACTTTAATTACATTTGTCCTTTCATCAAGTTAGCCTCGGGGGCAAGACAAACCAAAACGTTACACAGCTATTTCCAGCGATAAGATGGCCTAGTCCTACAGTCGCAGCATCACACCAATCACGCAATCTCAGGCATGCCTCTGTTATCAACCAAAACCCAAACCTGAGTTTCACCGTGATAGCGTATCGCAGGATGTTGTAATGGTAGCTGGTGTTGTTCACCAAGCGGTAGCTGGTTTTGTTCACTAAAGGACTTGCCAAACACTAGTGAAGATCAATACCTGTGTAGGTCCTTAGTGTGCTGGGGAAGAAGGTCGCTACCATAGCTCAGTCATACGAACTATATGTATGATAGAGGAGTAGGACATCGCCACTGGTTAGACATACAAACTATATCATGTATATTAGAGAAAAGGACATCATTAGGGGTCGGTCAAACAAACTATATGTATATTAGAGGGACATGAAAAGCGAGAGTGTGTGCGGTGCTGCAAACAAGTTAAGAGCCCTTGTATGGATACAACTGAAAATAGGGTTTCGTTAATAAAAGTGGGTTACTTAGAGCAATTTAACCATTCAACTTGGTAGAGCATCCCACTTCATACAGAATCACAAGTAATTTAAATGCTATTGACACACCATAAAATTAGTAAATAAAGTCTCTCTAATAAAAACAATTATCGGAGAGAGATTGTGCACTACGGGGCCTTGATTGATAGAGATTGTGCACTACGGGGCCTTGATTGATAGAGATTGTGCACTACGGGGCCTTGATTGATAGAGATTGTGCACTACGGGGCCTTGATTGATAGAGATTGTGCACTACGGGGCCTTGATTGATAGAGATTGTGCACTA